CGGCAATCGAGCGCACCACCAGAGGGGACAGGCTCGGGGGGGTACGCATCGACCCCCAGTCGCCCATTCGTCCTCCAGCTTACAGTCAGCCCGCATAGTAAGGATGGGCAACCTTCCCAAGGGTACCCTTACATCCTTGCCTCCTCGGCCCGTCCTTGGCCACTTTCGTTGGCCGCGCCCCGTCCGGACAGCTTCGAAATGGGCGTCCAAGGGTGCGGGTTGACTGTATCCTCGCCCGGGCAATCGAGCGTACTATCAGAGGGGACAAGGCTTGGGGGGGTACGCATCGACCCCCAGTCGATGCGACCAGATATCCTCCTCGCGATGCATCGCTTTGCGAGCTCCTCATCTCGTCCAGATCTCGAGATATCCCCATCGCGATCAGTATCCTCGTCCGGGCTTCGTCTTACGAGTGTCGGGCCGGACGAAAGGGGGGATTGGGAAAGGGGGGGTTTCGAAATCTGCTGCATGCAGCTGGTTTCGGCCCCACCGAGGGGCCCATTCCTCGATACCTGGCCGCCTCTGGCGCCGGGAGGCGCCGGGAAAGTCAGCTACGCGAGCTGATTCTCACCCCCCCCTTTTGCTATCCCCCCCTGTTCGCCCGACCCGAGCGTGGGCCGACCCTTCCGCGTCCAGAGGGGCGTCCGCTCCCCGTGCTGGGCTTAATTCGTGGGCACCGGCGCGGCGGCCGGCCGAGGTAGCGCGTGCCTCCCCCCGGGCCCGAGGGTCGCGCGGCGGTCTCTCCCAGCGCTCCCCCGCCCAGGACCTCTTGGAGGAGGAGGGCCTACCTTGCGTGCGCAACGGACTCCACTCCACTCCACTCCACTCCACCCCTCCTCCTCCTCACTGCTCCTCCTCCGCCTCCTCCTCCGCCTCCTCCCCCTCCTTCTCCTCCTCCGCCTCCTCCCCCTCCTACTCCTCCGCCTCCTCCTCCTCCTCCTCCTGCTTCTCCTCTCCTCCTCCTCCTCCCCTTCCTCCCCATCCTCCTCTCCCTCCCTCCCCATCCTCCTCTCCTTTCCTCTCACCTTGCTCCCTCCGCCTCCACCTCTTCTTCCTCCTCCTCCTCCTCCCCTCCTCCTCCCCCTGCCCCCTCCTTCCCCGCCTCCCAATTCCAACATCCTTGATGTTTTATGAATAACTCCTCCCCGTCGCACGAGGCCGTCTAAAGGTCGGGCCGGGCGTTTCGCCTGAGACGTCCTCACCATGTGCGACCCCAACGTTCAGACATCGGGAGCAGTTTCACGGATTGAGGGTGGGTGGTTGAAAACATGTGGCTCTCGCCCTAGCGCTGGGCGCATCCGTTTTAAACATCTTCAGGAGTTTCACGGATCGAGGAGTGTGGTCCTCGCCTTAGCGCCGTGCACAATCGTCCAGACCATCGGAAATTTCCACGGATGCCCATGGTCAGCGTACCAGGGATGGTGTTTTGGATGGGTTCAAGCTTTGAAGGGCGCAACACTTACGTTTGTTCGCGGTGTTGAAGTCCCAGGCATGGTATTCTGGCACGATTCAGGATTGCCAAGATGCACCAGTCAGGGTGTTTCGTGGCGTTGGAGTCCGAGAATTGTGTTTTGGCACGCTTCAGGGTTTTCAAGCTGTTGTCTCCCAACGGGGCAGTTCTCTCAGTGGAATTGAGCCACTGTAGGGGCCTATGAAAAGGGAGCGCGGAGGGAGGGTCTATTCCAACATCGTTGAGGAGTCTTGGGTGTGCACTGGTCCTCCTCCTCCTCCTCCTCCTCCTCCTCCTCCTCCTCCTCACTCCTCCTCCTCCTCCTCCTCCTCCTCCTCCTCCTCCTCCTCCTCACTCCTCCTCCTCCGCTGTTTCCGCTGTTTGCCGCGCCATGAAGGTCTGTGCCTTGCAGCGCCACTCGGCGGCCGAAGCCGCCGCCAGAGGAGGGGGGAGGAAGGCCCGTCCCGCCCAGGCGCGCGGGGCGGCGGAGGAGCGGGGGCCAGGCCTAGCCGCGCGCGCGGCCGACACGCGGGCGCCCTCGGCGCCGGGGGGGGGGACCCCGCCCAAGAGGAGAGGAAAGGGCCTCCAGGATCTCACGGGGCAGAGGAAGAGCGGGAGGGCGAGGCCCCAGAGACGCTAAAGGCCAGGCACCAGTGGACCCCGCGAGGAGGGAGGGAGATGGCCTACGCGGGCCCCAAGAAGAGGGAGCGGGGTCCAATGGTCTGCAACTCGCCCCCAGGCCCGATGCGCTGCCGCCCAGGATAGCAGCCTGGCAGCTGCATCACCTGTCCTGGGCGGCAGTGCCCAGGCCTTGGAGCACGGTGGGCCAGGGCTCGCCTGGCGTGCCACCCCCTTTACCCCCACAAGCACAGGGCCCGAACCAGGAAACCATAAGTGGAAAATGAGGCGGCTGGGGGTAAGGGGGGTGGCACCAAATTATGTCCCTCGGGACCCCGACGACTCGGCCCCCTCACTGGGCCACGTCGGTGGTCGCTGGTTTTGTAGTAGAGCATGATTCTGTCGCCCTCGAGCTTGTGGTACTCGACTCAGTCATGCTGGTCGAAATTCTTATTGGCCCTGCTGTGCCCAACCCTGTGGCCCTCGTCCCAGTCACTAGTCATTCTGGTATGGCTTGACCCAGTAGCACTATCTGTTGTCCTCGACTCGGTAGTGCTGGTCCTCGCAATACGCTTTGTGACTGTGATGCCAAGCTTGTGGTGCTCGGGCCGTCGCTCTGATTGAAGCAGTAGCTGACTAGCTGGCCCCGACCCTGTGGTACTCGGCACCGTCGTGCTGGTCGAAGTGGCGGTACTTGTCTCGGTATGATGAACCTTCTCCATTTGCTCCATTCACTCCATTCAACTCGGCATCGCTGATCCAGTGGTCGTCTGTCTCGATGATGGTAGGCTCTTTGTACTTGGCTCGGTCGCCCTGGTCGAGTGGAACTGTTTGACTGTGTTGGGCTCAGGCTCCTGGTACTCGTCTCAGCCGATGAGGTAATTGTCGTGCTGGTTAGAGGTCGTTGGGGGCCGGCTTGTTGCTGGTAGGTGGAATAGATTGTGGGCGCACTCAGGCCTCCATGCACCGACTTCAAGTAGGGTTCATGGCGGCCCTACCTCGTCCCGCTATGGCTAGGGGTCACAGTGCCCTCGGTGGGGGCGAACCCCAGGCCCAGTGATTCTTCTGCTGTCGATGAGGAAGGTCAACGCTGCCCTATGCTTCGCCCTTGGGCGCTCGGGAGCTCCGTCTCCGCCATGGGAATGGTGGGGGTGGCGAGCTAGGGCGGACCGCGGGGGCGCGGGCAGTACTCGTCCTGCCCCCCCCCTGCCCCTCACCATCCCCCCTGCCAGGCGCGGGCAGTCCTCGTCCTGCCCCCCCGCCCTTCGAGCCCGTCTCGAAGTTTGATCCTTGCCTCACCAGGGCAGCGTTGACTCGTACTTGGTGCAGTTGGGGTAATCTGGCTGGTACCTCTGAGCCCTGGCTGAACGGCGGCCGTGTCCGTCACTGTGCAAAACGTGGCGACGTGTGCCTGGGGTGTTCCCTCGCATTCGGGGCTTCCCCAGGACTTGCGTCCTGACGACTTGTGCAAAACTTGGCGACGTAGCCTGAGGTATTCCCGCGCACTCGGGGCTTCCTCAGGACTTGCGTTCTGATCCTTTTGTACTTGTCGTCAGGGCACTTCGTCAGGCCTGTGCCCGAACAGCTCCTGTCGAGGTGGTGGTCCTGCCGATTGCCTTGTCGGGTCGGTCCTGCAGGGCCCACTCCCTTGCCTCTTCCAACCAGGTCGGTGGGCCACCTCGCCTCGCTGGGCCACGATGGTAGTCCTGACCCATCTCCCTGGTCTTGTAGCGGTCGAGCGGCTGGAAGAAGTGGGCCACGTCGTCGTCGATGTGCCGCCCCTGGACGTCGCTAGGCGACTCGCCAACACGCCACCTTATCTGCTTCGCCAGTGCGGTCGCGATGGCCTGGCACATCCTGTTCGGGTACTCCTTGGCCGCCGCGGTGCGCCACTGGCCGTCGTCGTTGATGCCTGCCAGCTCCGCGTGGTAGGAGGCCGTGTGAAAGCACCTCCCGCCTCCAGGCAGTCTACTGATTTCTGCTCGGAGGGTTGGTAGGGATACCGCCATCAGGCTTGTGGACTTCCTCGAACGCGCTCCACGGGTGCACTGGTCGAATGTGATCAGCTCGACTCCCTGCTGGTTCAGGAGGTGGCGCGTCTCGGGGAGCTTCCAGGAGCTGGCGAAGTGCTCCTCGGTGGGCTCGCACGGGTGCTCGAGCATGCCTGGGACTCCCAGGTTGAGGCGCATGTACATGAGCTCCAGCTGTGTCCTGTATAGGCGGTTGCCTATCGCTACTTGCTCCATCTCTGGACGGGAAAGGTAGCGAAGGCCCCACAAGCTGTTGCTGCTCCTTAGGGGTCTTGGTGGGCGGCCCCTGCAGTCATTGGGGGGCAAGTGGCGCGCTCGGCTCCAGGTCTCGCACGGCGGTCCGCCGATGACTCCTGCAATTCTCCCTGCTTGTGCCATGTCTCGCCACTTGCTGACCGCGACTTCTGATGTCAGGTCGCCGAAGGTCGGGTCGTTGGCGATGTCCAGGCTGAGCATGTGTATGTCGCAAGAAGCCCGACTGCTGAGGCGGTCGAACCAATCCTGAACATCTCCCTCTCGGCGACGGCCGCTGAATAGATGCAGCACGTATAGCGTCCGAGCTGGCCTGGGCCTGGGTACAGCAGCTGGCGGCGGTGGTGGCTCCTCGATGAAGGGGAGCTCTAGGCTCTCGTAGTGGCCGCCTTTGCTGTCGTCGCTGTCCTCGTCCGTATGTATTTCTGGAGGACGAGCAGGGACTGCGGGCTTCTCTGCCCAGTCGATGGGCCTGCCCGCCCTTCTGTTCGCCTGCTGCTGGTCGCGCACAACTTGCTGGTTGTGCTGCAGCTCGGCTCTGCTAAGGATTGCTGGACGTGTCTTTCGCCAATGTCGAGCGCACCTGCGCACTCTCAGCAAGTGTTTGACCAGCCTGTTTGTAGTGTGGTAATCCATGCCGCATCCGTAGCAGACCGAACCAGTTGCCCACGAGATAGGATGACCCGACGAGGTGTGGTCCTTGGTGATGTGTGCTCGTAGCACTGCTGCGCTGGCTTCAGTACGTCCGCAGTGGTAGCATAGGTACTTGCGCTGCTGCTCGAAGTGCTGGTCTGGGAAGGGCGAGATGGCTTCCGTGTTGGTCCACCGTTGGAGTCGTAGCCGCCATCGAGCTTGGTAGTCGTGATCGTACTGGCGAGCTTTGCCACGTTGGCAAGCTTTCTTTACTGCGCTGAGGTAGCTTTGGTAGTCGTTCCTGGCCCAGTCCTTCCAGTCCTCGAGCGTGTATGCTCCACCACGCTCGTCAGGTCCTGTGTGGTCGCGGACCCAGTCTAGGTCGCGGCGGAGCAGTGCCACCCAGCCGTAACTACCATCCCATGCTTGGCTAAGTAGTCGGCGGAGGTGCAGGGGTCCCCAGTTGAGGCATCTACCAAATAGTCGTAGCCGCTCAAGTCGTAGGACTATCTCTGGGGGCAGCTTGTCGACCCCTTCGAGAATCTGGGTGTTCGTGACCTCCTTTTTCTGTCGTACTTTCCAAGTGATCCTTTGCGCGGCAGCGTAGTTGACGATATACTGGTTGTTGAAATTCCTGGCCTGGCCTGCTGTGAGTTCGGGCCAGGTAGACGCATTGTATAGTAGCTGGGATAGCACCACACTGTCGGCTAAGTAGGCCTTGTCTTTGATGGCCAGCTCTGATCGCCGGTGGACTTCGCGATGGAGAGGCCTCGTGGATGTCGCTGCAGTGGCTACCTTCACTGCGACATCCACCCCAGGGGATGCATTGTCGGTCACGTAGGTCCCGAGGAGCTTGTGGTGACGAACAACCTCGACGTAACTCTCTGCGAGGGGGGCCTCGATCCTCGGCACTCCATTGGAATAGAAACTGGCCCGAGCTTGCCGGCTCCCAGGCCCACTGAAGTCGATCATCACCTTGGTCTTGGTGAGCTGCAGCTGGAGGCCGAAGGTGCTGGCGGCGCAGTAGACGGCTTCGCAGAACCCCGTGGCCTCATGCTGAATGTGGTCGGGGCTGGTGAACACGTGCATGCCCGTTAGGTCGTCGACGAACGATAGGCCATGAGGTTCATGCTCCTGGAGTGGCCCATCTGTGGGGTCGGTGTCGCATGCGAAGCTGCTGTCAAGAGGCTTGCCCTGGGGTCGTAGCCCTCGCTGCGCAAGGTAGCTGTCAATCATGCGGTGGACTCGGCCGAATAGCAGATTGAAGTCCGCGTCGGCCAGGGGCACGCCAGGCCTCGTGCCCTTGTGCGGCGCCATGAGGTTCTGGGAGAACCTGTGTGATGTCCACCTGTTGCGGTAACCTTCTGCAATGAGGGCAGCCAGGTGGGAGCCGTCCAACACTGTGTCGAGTATCCCTGGGTTGGCCATGAGGTGCTCCAGTTGCGGCTGGGCCCACAGGGGAACCTCGAGGTTCTCTAGCACCTCCTTGACTTCGTCCTCCTCGCCTGGGATGCCATGAACCAGCTGGACTACAACCGAGTAGAAGGCCTCCTTTAAGTCGTAGCAGCTAATCATGGAGCACTTCCCTTGGGCCTGACTTCTCTCTGTGAAGAGGCGTGCTGCTAGGACCGCCATGTCCGCCCCTCGCTTGGGCCGGCCGCCAACCTGGATGTCCTCCAGCGCTATGGCGAGGGTAGTGTTGAGCATGGTCCTTAGGTATTTATGGTGGTGCTTGCCCAGGACGTTGTTTAAGAGGATCTCGCGGTAGGCTTGGAGGTACCTTGGGTCGCCTTTTCCTTTGGGAATTGCGACCAGGTCTCCACCCTTGAAGCTCAGCGGCTCCCGTACGGTGGTCGCCACCTTGGTGAAGAGGGGGTGCAGTAGCCTCGCTGCCTCTGTGGGGGCCGCCCTGAGGACAGCGTTCGTGAGCCCGTCGGGGCCTCCTTGCGTCCCAGCCTTGGCCGCGGCGAACTGGGCCTGGCAGACGGCCAGGGGCATCACCATGGAGAGATCCAGCATGCCGTCGAAGGGCCTGGTCTTGCTGTCGTGATTGTACTTGTTGGCAAGATCATCCGCTGTTACGATCTTGCCCGCCTGTATCTTCGCGAAATGGCTAAGCTCCTGGTCCGCCATGTCGAGTTGTGGATCACCTCTCCATCCTTGTCGAGCCGCATAGGCTTTCCTGCTGGGAACTTCGCCTTCCTCCCGCCATACCTTAGTAGGTCGCGGTAAGCCTTCCACTGGGCCGCAGCGTCGTTCGCAGCGGAGGCGGAGGACGCAGTTGAGGCAAGCCGACTGAGGAATGCGCTACGGTCCTTCTCGACGGCCGAGGCAACGAGGGGCCCAGACCAGGTGAGGAAGGAAAGGATGGCCATGGCGTAGACCATGGGCGAGATCGTCCAGTTCAGGAGGAGGTGCGCGTAGTCGTGGATGTCGTGGATGGTGCTATCGTCGTCGCCACGCTCTCTGCTCCACAGGGACAGTGAGTCCCCTACTTCGCCTGCAAGAAGAGAGTGGGCGTGGGCTACTAGTCGTCCGGGTCGGTCGTCATGGGCTTCTCCTCTGAGCACTGCGCGATGGACTCGGAGTGTGAGGCGCCTGGCTCGGATTAGGCCCATGGTAGTCTTGGTGACATAGGGCTTCCTCGCTGCCTTGACGGCCTTGCCGAAGGCCTGGATGGCCGCGTCGTTGACGACCCTGGTGACCTCCTCGCAGTGAGTGTTGACGTCCACCTCCCAGGGGATGATCGGGGCCTGCTTGAGAATCTCCTTGAAGCTGGCCTTGGCGACGTCGTTGTTCAAGTTGGTCAGGTCGGGCCTCGGTCCTGAGGCCTTGGTGGTCTTGCAGACGGCCCACTTGAGGGTGGCTAGTACTGGTATGTGGTCTTGTGCAGCTGTGCCTCGGTCCAGACCTGGCTCCGTGCTGCAGCTCGCAACGTGCGGGGCGATCGAGGAGCTCAGCAGGATGTAGTCTATCCTGTGGTGCTGCCCCTTCGATCCGACATGCGTATATGAGTTGTTGCCTGGATCCCTCGTGGTGTTGATGACCTCCATGTTGGTGTCGGCAGCGAAGCTGATGATGTGCTTGCCATTGCCGTTGGTCGCTTCTGGGTACCCACTGGTGCCAACTCACTCCTGGGGACTCGTAGTCGCCAAGACGCCCGTTCAGGTCCCCCATGAAGATGTCCACTCGGTACTTGGCAGACAATCGCTGAGCAGACTCCCAGAATTCTCTCTTCTCCGCCGCGTGGGAGTCTTCGTGGGGTGCATATGCTGATGCGATGACCATGTCTGTGCCTGCAACGCGGGTCTTGATGATCAAGAGCCTGTCGTGCTGGTGGAGGACGAGGGTGTCTTTGGCACTTAGGTACTTCGCTGCCCCACTCGCGCTGATTGGTTGGGAGACGTTGAGCCAGATGTCGCATCCTCTGTTCTGCTGCGTGTGGCCTGAGGAGTAGCAAACATATTCTCCTACGTTGCGGACGTCTCCTTCGCTCTGCGTCTCCTGTAGGGCCACGACGTGCAGGCCCATGTCAGCAAACTGTGCTGCTAGGTGCGTGGCCTTGGAGAGGCTCTGCTTGCTTTTGCCGGCCGCCTTGCCTTTGCCCGACTTGAAGCTGACGGCGGCCTTGAGTGATCTGCAGTTGTAGGTGCACAAATTCACGTTGAGGTCGGCCTTGATGGTGGTGGTGCTGATGGGCCTCTGGGTCGCTCCTGGGGCTGCCTGCGGCTGGGTGGCCTCGATGATGAAGTCTTTGTTCCGCAAGGGCGGGTATGCGGCCTTGACCGCATCTGGCTCTGAGCGTAACCATTCCCAGGAAAGGAACTTGTTGTGAGCGATCGCCTGCACTGCTGCAATGTTCGGGTCCATCAGGTCGCTGGCCGAAGCTTGATCTGCTATCCCATCTGCGAGCTCGTTCCAAGGGTGCCCAATGTGCGAGTTAATGTGGTGCCACTGGGTAGGTCGGGCTTGTTGGAGGAGGCCAGCAAGCGTGCGAATGGCGGCCCCCAACCTCGGATGTACGTGGCATTGGGCTTCGCCTTTGGCCAGGTTGATAACGTTGACGGCATCGGGCGTGACCTCGATGGGCGCGTCGGTGTCTTGACCAAGGGCCCACATTAGTGCCCAAAGTACTGCCGTGAGCTCAGCTGTGTATGCCGTCACCTTCTCGTTGTTTGCCATGTCGTCTAGGGACTCGGTGACCTTGCCAGCAGTGAAACCCCGAAAACCAAACGGGCCTCGTGAGTTGCGCCCGTCGTCGTACTCGTCGACAATAACTACTGCCCAGGCGGCTGTATGTGGGATGCCGTTGTAGCTGCCGTCCGTGTAGATGTGTGTCCGCCTGGTCGGCAGCTCGCGTGATGGGCACATCTCCAGCGCCATCCTTGCCATGTTGTGCAGGGTCGTAGTGTCGACGTCGTCGCAGACGTTGACGCGGCCTCGGCCGCGAATGGTCTCGGCTACTGGGTCTTGGCTGAGAACTGGCAGCACTGCCGCTTGGCCTCTTTCTGGTGCTGCCGTGGTGGGGAGCTGCCGTCGCCTTCGGCCACGCCTGGCCCTCTCAGCATTGACGTACTCGGGGGAGTACTCGATGTCGTCGTCTGGCGCCAGTTCCATGCCCTGTAGAATGGGACCTTGTGTAGTGGTAATGTGGGCTGGAGGTGGCTGTGATGTCGCAGAGCGTGTAGGCGGGGCTAGTGATATGGCCCCAGCCTGAGGCGCACTCCGCTTCACGGGTGGTAGTGATGGCATTTGGCTCCCCTCATCGTAGTTCAAGTTGTCCGATCCAGCCCGCGCGGCCTGACCGTACAGGGGCTCGCGTGATTGGGCGTGGAGCATGCTGTCACGTAGACGATAAGGTTCGCCATCCAGGGCGTCTGGGTGATTGGTAGCACCCGTGCCGTGGTGGGAGCGCGCTGATGCCGAGGAGAGCGTTGGCTTCCACCTGCTTGGCCGTGGTGAGCCGCTTGGGTCCGTCGTGATTGGGGCCACTGGTGATGCTGGTTGAGCTGCTGAGTCCGTCGGGTCTGGATCCACCACCAGGGCATGGTACTTGTTGTGGGTGCTGCTGTTGTCCCGACGACTGTGGCTCTCCGCAGCGCGCCGTGCGCGGCGTGCACGCCGCTGGGCTGATCGGAAGGCTGCGACTGCGCGCGCTTGCTTCCACTCCTCGTAGCATTGCTCCATGCCATCCTCTGCCTCGCTGCCAGTCGAGTTTTGACCGTCGAGAAAGGTCCTTTCCACGTTCTCGATCTCGTGGACTCGGATGGCGGAGGGGGACACGCATCCTTGCGGCCATCTTGGTGGCTTGTGACCTGAAGTGCTGACAGATTGGCGGATGCATCACTCCTCCCTGGTAGTGTGCCTCCTTGGTTGCCGCCTAGCGCCCCTCGAGACGCGGCGGGCGGCCCTCGTGTCGGCCGTGGTGGTGTCACGTTGGCCCCTCGAGACCCAGGTGACTGATACCGCTGTTGATGCTGGCTGCTGCGATTGGGAGTGGCCCTCCTGCTGCCAATGCCAGTTGCGGTAGCACATTTGCTTGGAGTCGTGGCCCCTCGGGACCTTGGACTCCTGGGAGTACCTGATCTGGTGCGTGAGACTGTCGCAATCTCTGCTGGTCTTTTTGTTACTAGACGGCGTCGCAGGAGTCTTGGGTGTGCACTGGTCCTCCTCCTCCTCCTCCTCCTCCTCCTCCTCCTCACTCCTCCTCCTCCTCCTCCTCCTCCTCACTCCTCCTCCTCCTCCTCCTCCTCCTCCTCCTCCTCACTTCTCCTCCTCCTCCAGCCCCATGGCGGCGCCTCCGGCGCCGCCCCTGGCGCGCTCCGCGCGCCAGGGAGGGGGGGTCCAGCGCCGATCCGAGCAATCCGCGCGGACCTCCGCGTTTTTGTGCTTGTGTCATTGTTTGTTTCCCTAATTCTGGAGCCTCGAACGTCACTTCTGGGCCTCCTCTTAAGTCGGGCGTGCCCCTCTACAGGGGGAATGTTCAAAAATGATCTAAAAATAGTCAGGGGACGATTGTCTGACTCTTTGTGAATATTTTTTTGCCTATTTCTCTCATTTTTCGTCCAAAGTCCGCCTGCAGGGGGACATGCCCGATCTAATTCTGGGCCTCCTCTGGGGGCCGCTTGGGCGACGCGAGAGCACGGCCCTGCCTTCGCGCGCCGTGCCGCGCCGGCAGCTCGCGTCGGCCACCGCCCACGCCTGCTGGCGCTGGAACAGTCTCCAGGGGAACGAAGAGTGACATGCCCAAGTCGTGCCCAAGTCGCCTCACTTCGCTGGGGGAACGAAGAATGACATAAACATAAAGGCTCGGAGGTCCGCGCGGGTTTCTCGGAACCTGCCGTGCCCAAGTCGCCTCACTTCGCTAGGGGAACGAATCATGACATAAACATAAAGACTCGGAGGTCGGCGCGGGTTTCTCGGATCGGCGCTGGACCCCCCCTCCCTGGCGCGCGGAGCGCGGCAGGGGCGGCGCCGGAGGCGCCGCCACGCCCCAGCGCCGATCCCAAGAAATCCGCGCGGACCTCCGACTTTTTGCGTTTATGCTATTTTTCGTTCCCCTATTCTCCTTTCCCTCGGCGGCGCGCTCGGTCCTCAGAAGGCTCGGAAGACCCACGACCTCCTGCGAAGTTTTCTGGGCCTTCCCCCAATCACAGCAACACTTTTTTTCAAAAGGCCGGAGGGCTTCTGAGAAGGCCCCGCCGCCTTCTGAGAAGGCGTCCTGCTCGCTTCCCTCGCTCGCCGCTGGTTCTCCGCAGACGGGCACCGGTACACCACCACCACGCCTGGCCAGGGGGGATCCCAGGCCCCGGGACGGCGGTCCACAGAGCCGCCCAGCCTCTGCCGGGAGGGCGTGTACATACTCCGTGCCAGGGCCCAGGGCGGCCCTGGACAGGCAAGGCGGTGGTGCAAATTAGGGACAACGCTGGGGGAGACGCATCGACCCCCATTCGCCCATTGATCGCCGATAGTCAAGGGAGGAAAAACCGCCCAGACCCGATACTTGGCGTTTGCTAAACGGCCTTGGGCGTTTACTAAACAGCCCTTCCCTGCTTGATTCTTTCTTTGGGTGCGTTTATCAAGCGACCTCGCGTGTCGGGGTGGTTATTATCGGGGTGGATTTGCCGCCCTCAAGATAGGGGCCCGATAACCCCAACCTGCCCTCGAATGCTCGATGATCCTCAGGACGTGTGTCAGCTCAATGTGTGTGTGCGTGGGTGCGTTACCCCGTTCAGCTCCACCGGCAGATCTTACATCGCCTGCGTCGTATTGAAGGGCCTCACAGGTCAAACACGTTGGCTCTAACCCATGTTCTGAGGATCATCGAAATGGAAGGATTCACTATCGGGGGCCTATCGCCGATGCATCGGCGATGTGTCGCCGATTCCAGGTCCATGTGTGCCGCCCCATGGCAGAGTTGCCTCCCTGTGATTCTCGCCGCCCGCCCCAAGATCCGACGGTGTGACACAGTTGCAGCATCGCGACAAATGAGGACCCGAGCCCTGCGCCGCATCACCTCGCGACACTTTTCGGGCCGGATCGATCGGTGATGGTCCCAGGGCCTGAACACCAGGCGAAGGCGCCCGGCGCGAACAAGCTGCAACGCCCGGACCTCAGGGCATGTCGGTGCCCCAGGTCCCCCCCCATCGGTATCGTTTAACCGATCCCCATCCCCATCCCCATCCCCATCCCCATCCCCATCCCCATCCCCATCCCCTTCGAGACCCGAAACCCGAGGGGAACGACCTACATCCCCATCCAGGGAGGTATATCGGCCTGCAACCATGCAACGCCGACGTCTGCATGCGTATAAGAGTACATATGGAAACAACTGTGTGGATATCAGCTTCACCTTTTCGCATCAATGCTTTTCGCTGGCGATCAGGTAACGCAGTGGGACAGCAGTGGGGCCCATGTCGCGCCGCTGGGGACGGGGATCGGTTCAACGATACTCACCCCAGGGGCGCGAAGATGATTCAGGAGGGAACAAAAACACACAGACACAATTAATCGTCGATTCCCCAGAAAATATGGGAAAATATGGGACGTGGGGGGGAACACAAAAAAAACCCAAAAGATGGGAACTATGGGGAATCTTCTTATTTGTGTGTATTTGTTTGTGTGTCCTGGGGCCCCTTCAATGATCGCGCTTCGCCCGTCGCGGCCTGGGCCCGAGCGCTCGCCCTGCTCCAGCGGGGGGGACGGCGCGAGGGCGCCGAGCCTCGAGGCCGCGAGGGTGTGGCCGCGGGCCTCGCGTCGCGGGGCGCGATGCGCGAGGTGAGGCGACTCGGGGGTGGACAGAACCCCCACCCTGACACGCCGATTAGTGAATTGTCCATTTTCGGTTCTCGGGAGGGCGCCGCGGCCGTCGTTTTCCAGGCTCGCGCCCGCCAGGTCTGGGCCCGAGGTCGTTCTCACTGGACCACGTCTTGCTGAAGGGAGGTCTGTCCTATCGCCGATCTATCGGCGATGTGTCGCCGATTTCGGGTCGATGCCTCCCCCCCTACGCCAGTCCCCCCCTTTCGTTGCCCCTCAGCTGAACGCCCCCCGCGGCCCAGAATCGGTGGGTGTTGGCCGATCCGACGCTCCCCGGAAGCGGCCGATCGCCCAAGGGCGGAGCGATCCCCGCGGTGTCAGGGAAGAGCGCCGCAGTCGGCACGCACAGCACGAGCCCGCCGCACCCGGGAGGGAGACACGACGAGCCGTCGATCCCCAGGAGGAGATGGGACACTCCCTGGGCAGCGTGGGGGGGAAGACGAGAGCCCAGAAAGCATGGACCAGATCTGGGGCACCCTCGGATCTGTGTGTGTGTGTGTGTGTGTTTCTTGGCGTGTCCCTGCCAGGGACTCCCCGGCGGCCCCCCCGGGAGCGCCCTGGGGCTGGGGCCGCCCCTGCGGGCGCCCGAGGCGCGCCCGCGCGTGGGGCGCCCCGCTCCTCCTGCTCGGGTGCAGTGGGGCATGTCCCTCTGCAGGAGGAATTTTCAAACACAGGTAAAACAACATACTTGATATTTTTGATCATTCCTGCTTATTCGTCGAGTATAATTTTGATCATTGCTGCGTTTTTTTTTTTCATGCAAAATCCGCCTGGAGGGGGGACATGCCCGCTCCTCCTGCTCGGGCAGGGGCCCCGGAGTGCTCTGCGGCATCCCTGCTCGACGCCCGAGGCCAGAGGTCGTGCCCGTCCACTGCCGGGGGGGCCACCCAGCTCGGCGCCCTGCCTCCCTCGCCTCCCTGCCTCCCTCGGCTCCCTGCCCCGGGGGGCCACCCAGATCCAGGGGAACGAACAGTGACATGAACGTACAAGCTCGGAGGTCCGCGCGGAGTGGAATCGGCTCCCTGCCTCCCTGCCTCCCTCCCGCCTCCATCCCTCTCTCCTGAAGCTCCTCCTGAGGCACGCGGGGCCCAGGGCGCGTAGATCCTCCGTGTGGCTCGAGCGCGCCATGGGTCCCGCCCCGCCGCCCCAGCGCCGCGTGCTTCTGGCTATCCGCAACCCTGGTCTTTTATCTTGAGGCGTGGGTCGGTTAAGGGCGGGGCGAACGTGTCAGAATCAGGTTTCGCTCAGTTTTGTATTTGAGTGTTGCCTGGGTTCTAGGTGCTGTATTGCTGAACGTGTGGGTTATCCTCATGCGGAGTAGATGTTCTTCGACTTCCTGTGCAGCTTCCTCGTGGTCCGTCTCGGGTGCGGGGGCCATGGTGGGAGACTGCATGTGCGTTGACCCATCCGCCCTCACTCTCGCGTACTTCATCATTGTGGTGGGCTGGATTGTTTGGATAATGGTTTCTTGGTGGGTTTCGCTTCAAAAAACTTGAGAGTGGGTGGCTTGTCCGCACCATCGTCATCTATTCAAGTTTCGTGCTGGCCTGTTGCATTCAGTAATGAGGATGTTCGCAGCCATGCTTATATCTTGCGGTTCGAGGGACCTGAGGTTGCACGGGCTGTCCGCATCATAGTCGTCCCCGAGTCAGAGCTTGCCTCTGTACGGGTCCTAGCGTATTCATATGGTTAGGTGAGGTTTGCAACCGATTTCCGCGGCCCGCCTGGGTGCCCGGTTGCCCGGGTGCCCGGGCGCTCGGGTGCCCCGGTGCCCCGGTGTCCGGGTGCCTGGGTGCTTTATAGCCCTATAGCCATATAGCCCTACAGCCTTATAGCCCTATAGCCCTATAGCCCCATAGCCATATGGCCCAATACGCCCATAGCCCCATAGCCCTATAGCCCTATCGCTCTATAGTTTTATCGCCCCAGAGCCCAATAGCTCTGTAGTCCTATAGCCCTATAGCCCAATAGCCCTATCGCACTAGAGCCCCATAGCCCTATAGACCTATAGTCCTATAGCCCTACAGCCCTATAGGCCTATCGCCCTATAGCTCTATAGACCTATAGACCTATAGCCCTACAGCCCAATAGTCCTATAGACCCACAGCCCTATGGCCCTATAGCCCTACAGCCCAATAGCCCGATAGCCCAATAGACCTATAGCCCCATAGCCCAATAGCCCAATAGCCAAATAGCCCTGTAGCCATATAGCCCTATAGCCCCATAGCTCTACATGTCTATAGCCCAATAGTCCTATAGCCCCATAGCCCTATATCCCTATAGCCCTATGGTCCTATAGCCCTATAGCCCCATAGCCCTATAGACCCATAGCCATATGGCCCTATAGCCTTGTAGCCCCCAGAGCCCCATAGCCCCATAGCCCTATAGCCCTACAGCCCTACAGCCCTATAGCCCTATAGATCTATGGCCCTATAGCCCTATAGAGCTATAGCCCTATGGCCCTGTAGCCCGATGGTCCCATAGCCCTATAGCCCCATAGCCCTATTGCCCTATAGCCCCAATAGCCCAATAAACCTATAGCCCTAGAAAGACATTGATAGGTTTTTTTGTTCGGTATCATGTTATGTTTGGTGCTGGCCTTCTGCATTCAGGGATGGTGAAGTTCGTGGTGTTTATAGTTTGGTACCCCTAATTCTGCTTATACTTCCTTGTCAATGTGAAGTGATGCTCAAAGGTGCTATCGCGACTGTATGTTCGCCCAGTGAGTACTGCTTCGTGGTGCTGCTATACCAGCTCTGGAGGTCGTCGTAGTGATCAGTATGCGTGTTTTGAGGGCAAGACTTCGGCTCATGGTCACACTCATACTCATACCTCTGCTCCTCGTGCTCCTCTTCCTCCTCCCTTCTCCCACCTCCCTCCTCCTCCTCCTCCTCCTCCTCCTCCTCCTCTCCTCCTCCTCCTCCTCCTCCTCCTCCTCCTCCTCCTCCTCCTCCTCCTCCACCTTCTCCTCCCGCCGCCGCCGCCGCCACCGCCGCCGCCGCCGCCCCTCCCCCTTCTCCTCCTCCTCCTCCTGCTTCGCCACATCAGATGGGTTCGGAGGGTCGCGCCGCATCGCCGATATCTTGTGAAGAGAAAGCGGCATAAACATGAACATTCGGAGGTCTGCGCAGATTTCGTTGATCTGCGCTGGCACCCCCTCCTGGCGCGCGGAGTGCGCCAGGGGTGGCGCTGTAGGCGCCGCCAGGGGGGGGCACCGCCGTTCCAAGAAATCCGCGCGACGCTCCGAGAGTTTCGTTTGTGCCCTTCTCGGTTCTTCTACCGTAGCGACGTCGCCCACGCATCGCCGGTGCATCGGCGATGCGGCGCAATGCTCCGACCCCATCAGCTCTGGCCCTCGGGCGGCCTCCACGTCCCAGGTCCACTACTTGGGCCCCTCCCAGGACCCTACGGAGGCCAAGTACCTTGCGCTGGCTGCGAGGGGTTTCATCCAGGACTCCAAGGGTCTCGGCATGATCTTGAAGGCTTCCAAGTCTGGGGCTGTTGTTGGTTCTCGGAAGTTCTGGAAGGGGGTGCAGCGCCACATGGGCTCCATGAAGATCCCGTACAAAGAAGACATGCCACTACCTAGATCAGGACACCGTCGACTTCCTGCTGCGAGGCCTGGGCATGATCGGAGATGCCGACTTCGATTCGGGCCTTGACAACATCACGAGGAAGGCCGATGCGGTGCTGAAGGCAGCGAGAAGGGCCTCGGAGAAGGCTTGGCGAGGCTGGGCCAAGCAGGCTTTTCTAGGAGGGGCCAGTCGGGCCCATGCAGCTTCCAAGGTGCGCGGCAAGCAGGAGCAGCTCAATTTCGACGTGAACGCTCAGCCGTACCTGCTCGCAAACCACACCCTTGACGTGTGGGAAGGCGTATGGCGGCATCACGACCTGTTGCCCCCAGGGCTGCCGCCAGGCCATGAGAGCTGGCCTGCTCTGCCCGAGCTCGACCACCAGCAAGTGCGGGCTGCCATTCGCAAGTTTTCGACGCGGACGGCAGCTGGGCCGAGCCGAATTTCAACCAGATGCCTGGACGCTCTGTCGGACCAAGCGCTTGAGCGCATGGCCAAGATGTTTATGCTTTTCGAGCAGTGGCTGTCCTGGCCTCCTGAGCGGGTTTACAGTGAAATGGTTCGCTTACCTAAACCTGACGGGGACACACGATTGATTGTGCTATCTCACGCTTTGGTGCGTATCTGGGGCAAGCTCAGGAGACCAGTCTCGGCAGCGTGGCAGGCTGGCTACCAGTGCGACCAGATGTGGGGCACGAGAGCGGGCCACACGTCTACGGACTCGGCGTTTGATCATAATATTCAGCAGGAGGTTGCGCAGTTGTTGGGGGAGCAGACATGCACGATCTTGCTTGATATGAGCAAATGTTACGACATGGTGGACCCACATGCGTTGCTCCGAGAAGGCCAGGCTCTGGGGTTTCCACTACGTCTGCTTTGGCTCCTCATTCAGAGCTACCAACAGCCCCGTCGTATAAGGGCCTTTGGGAGAGTATCCAGAGGGTTTCGGTCCTTCCAAGGGATCCTAGCTGGGTGTACTCACGCTACTTACGTCTTGTACTTGCTCACCTATAGGTCGGTGCAGAGGGTCTCGAAGGTCTCCCCCACGGTGACCCCGAGGACGCTCATGGACGACATTGGGCTCCAACATACCTCCCAGGACCCTACGGAGGCCAAGTACCTTGCGCTGGCTGCGAGGGGTTTCATCCAGGACTCCAAGGGTCTCGGCATGATCTTGAAGGCTTCCAAGTCTGGGGCTGTTGTTGGTTCTCGGAAGTTCTGGAAGGGGGTGCAGCGCCACATGGGCTCCATGAAGATCCCGTACAAAGGCCACATGAGGCACCTAGGTCACGAGCTCACGGGGCCCAAGGTGATTCGGGGTATGGAAAAGAAGCGTCTCAAACAGCCCAGGGAGAGGAAGGCGAGGTTTTCCATGCTGAAGTCTGCGGCCGGCAAGGTCGCGACGGCTCTGTGGCGCACAGGCGCCCTTCCATCAGTGGCGCACGGTGCTGCAGTTGCTGGAGTAAGCGACGTTGCACTTCGAGAGTTGCGTCTTTTCGCCGCCGTCTTGAATGGCGCGCCAGGTAAATTTAACACTGGTGTGACCGCCTACTTGGTTAGCCACAGGGGCGATTTCTACGATCCTATTTACCACGCCACTCTAGCCATTGTCATCAAGTTTGCGGAGTGGGTCTGGGACAGGAGAATACCCGACAGTCGTTTACATCGGGCTTGGGAGGCTCTTCGAGATAAGATTGGCACACTGTCTTGGGCAAATACTAGGGGCCCGATCGGGGCCTGTTGGCTGACCTTACGACGTATCGGGTGGAATCTAGTATCTAGTCATATGGTGGCTGATGATGTAGGCAATGTTTTCGACTTGCGCGTTATGTGCCCTGCCGACCTGAAGGTTTTCCTCACTCAGGGGATCCAGCGTTGGCAGGACGAGCGGCTGCCCAAGCATTTTTACACTGCTGAGCCTGGCGAGCAGATATGGCACCGAGGCTTACGCAACTCGGTGAAGAGTATCAAGTGCTATCGTAGACTCGGGGCCCTCCAAGCGCACTGGTCGGGAAACCTCCCCATCCCTCAGCTCCAAGATGCCCGTCATAAGGTAACAATCAGGCCGTGTGCTGCTTGTGGGGCCCAGTCTCAGGGTATTTGGGGCCACGTGCTCTACGACTGCCCCGAGGTGCTCAAGCAGCGCGAGGACTTCTTGGACATCTCAGAGGACTTGGAGGCAACCAGAGGCATGCTCCTGAAGGGGGGCGAATGGTATGATGGGCGTCTGGCTTGGGATTCCAATTATCTGGTCTTCGGGGTCCCTGCTCCTCCTGTGGGTATTCCTGGGCTCGACACTATAAGCTCAGAGGTTCTCCTATGGGGCGACACAGACGGGCCTTGGGGCCCCAAGAGCTACACCGACGGTTCGGGCCTTGCCTCCAGCGTTCTAGAGACTAGGCGGTGCGGGTATTCATGCATCCAGCTGGACCCCAAGACTCTTTTGCCTGTCCGTGCTGTGTATGGACCCCTGCCCTTCTATGTGCAGACTGTTGGCCGTGCTGAGAGATATGCCATCAAAATGGGTTTGGAATTTCATCCTGATCACGAGCTGTTCGTGTCTGACCTCCTGGGACTGGTTGCCGAGGGCAATTCCTGGGATCAATCCCTTCAGCACGGCCGAGGCAAGCACGCCAGGATATGGCGAGAGATTTTTCAGGCAGCGCAGCGTCGGGTACTTGAGTACCCTGTTCGTTTTGAGTGGACTCCTGCACACCGTGACCTCGACAGTGTGCTGGAGAATCCTGAAGAGGTGGAGAACTGGCTCGGCAATGCCTGGGCTGATTATTTCGCCAAGGCGGGTGCGGCGCACCACATGATCGCCAACGCGGTTTCCCAGTCGCTCTCGGAGGCCCTGAAGGTCCATAAGGCCACGTTGCAGTTTGTGTCGTGGGCGTGCTTACGTGTTATCGTCTCGGGGAGTTGGGGCCGAGGTCCCCCGCCACCCGTTCAGGATCCTGAGGCCCGTGAGATCCTGGGGCAGCCAGTCGTGTTCGGACGGGGTTCAGACCATGAGCTTTGGTAGTGCAAGAGACTCAAAGAGCACAGGTGCAGGAGATGTGGGAGATCGGCTCGATCGGACTCGACCCTAGCGTGGCTTAGGACGGGGTCGGGAAGGAGACGTGAGCCCTCTAGCCTCCAGAGCTTAGCCTGTGCGGAATGGTTTAAGAATTCGGTGGAGGTCTGGGTCAAAGTGTCGGACCCCCGCATCGCCCCGTCACAGGTTATTGTCGCGGATTTTCTTGGGGAAGGGCCTTCAGAGGCCTCGGAGGGTCCCCTTCCTGGGCCCACGGGCCCTCCCCAGGAGCCTGCTGTTGGCGAGGTTTCAAACAGTTCGGGGTCGAACGAGCTCATTGCCGAGTTTGCGGCACTGGGCCATGACGTTTTCTGTGTGAATTCGGTCTACTGTTGCCGTAAGTGTGCTGGCACGACGACCCTCGAGACGTCACGGAGCGTTCGGAAGCTCCGTCGTCCCTGTGCTGGGCTCTCAGAGAATCCGAGCACGAGGGCCAATCAGCTGGGGTTGATCGACAGGATCTTCCACGGCCGACAAGGGCGCCCCAAGCGGCCCGAGGGCAAGGCGCAGACGTAACTCGTCTCGCCCTCCTGGGAGCGGTTTTGTGGCGTCGGTTTTCCCTGGCCCCCGCCTGCCCTCTCAGTTCATAATATTTCCGCCGCGTTGCGGCCCTCAGGGTCCCATCTGTTCCTGAGGCGTGTTCGGATCGGACGCGCTCTCGGTGGCCCTCACCCTCACCCTCCTCCTCCTTCTCCTCCTCCTCCTCCTCCTCCTCCTCCTCCTCCTCCTCCTCCTCCTCCTCACCCTCCTCCCTCCTCCCTCCTCCCACCCCTCATCGGCTTCCCCTCCGCACATCGGCTCCCCGTGTGGTGGACAGGTGTGGAACGTGGCCTCGGGTCGGCTTCCTGGGCTCCTGGAAGGATGCACCGCCAGAGTGCCCCCCCTGCCCCCCAGAGCTCTCCGGGGGCTCGTCAACAGACTCGAGGCCCCCCATATGGGGTCGGAGCAGATGGGGTCGGAGGAGCGCACATCGGCGATGTGGCGCGATGTGGAGCCCGACTTTCGCCACGCCGACGTCGCCGATGCATCGGCGACGTCGCCGGTGCATCGCCGAAGCGTTGACGATGCATCGGCGGTGCATCGGCAGTGCGGCGCGATTTGTTCCGACCCCATCTGAGAGGCTTCTAGACATGCGCCTCGTCGATCCTGCCAAGGCCCGTCCTGGGCCCAGCCGCCGTCTGCACGCCCTCCTGGCTCTCTGCCACGAGGTGGGCATGCCGACCGATCCTGGGCCTGAGTATCGGTCGGGGGTGGACAGAAACCCCACCCTGACGCGTCGATTGGTGAATTGTCCGTTTTCGGTTGTCGAGAGGGCGCGGCGGCCGTCGTTTTCCAGGCGCGTGCCCGCCAGATTTGGGCCCGAGGTCGTTTTCACTGAACCACGTTTTGCTCAAAGGGGTTCTGCCCATCCCCGAATCGGCCCCGCCCGGGGCTCGGTGAGGTGGATGGCAGACCTCCTCAAGAGAGCTCCGGGCATCGTGCGGAAGCCGCGATCTGGCACGCCCGGCACGGGTACACGGAAGACATGTGTGCAAGGCCCAGCAGCAGATGTGGTTCAAACCCGGCAGCGAGCACCGCCGAGCAGGCAGTGCTTGTCTTTAGCAAATCCCCTGTGTTTTTGGACCCTGGCCCCGCGGATCTGCGTGAGGGGTGACACCGAATTTCAGAAATGTGGCAAATCCCCTGTGTTTTTGGACCCTGACCCCGCGGATCTGCGTGAGGGGTGGCACCGAATTTCAGAAATGTGGCAAATCCCCTGTGTTTTTGGACCCTGACCCCGCGGATCTGCGTGAGGGGTGGCACCGAATTTCAGAAATGTGGCAAATCCCCTGTGTTTTTGGACCCTGACCCCGCGGATCTGCGTGAGGGGTGGCACCGAATTTCAGAAATGTGGCAAATCCCCTGTGTTTTTGGACCCTGACCCCGCGGATCTGCGTGAGGGGTCGTCCAGGGGATGCTAAAAAGCCACTTTGGGCCTCCCCCCCCCTCGCGCGGTCAATCAACTAGTTACAGTAACCAGCAGTAAGTCAATTAGTTACAGTAACCAGCAAGAAGCAGAACTGTAACACTGGAAACTACAACCTACGACTGGTACAGGAAACGAATCACGGGCCTACAGCCTGGTGGCCCCACAAGGGGGCCGGCGGATATATATATATATATATATATATATATATACATCCACACCGCCTGGGGGATCGATCCTCGCGGACCTCCACAGGCGGTGGATGTCAACATACATCCACATCCACTCCTGCTGGGGCGCCAGGACGTCGGTTCCCAGGCGGTGGAGATGAATCTGGTCGGACGGGGCTGGGGCGATGATATAGATGTTCCAGAGCGTTCCATAATACTTTCAGAGCGCTCCGCAGCGCTCTGAGAAAGCCGCGGCGCCCGAGACATCCTCCAGAGCCGCTGGATCTCTCCTCATCCGAGTTTATCCTCGTCCTCATCCGAGTTTATCCTCGTCCTCATCCGAGTCTGTCCTCATCTCCTGATTCTCGATCTCTCCTCAGAGACCCTCGATTTTTCTCCTCCGAGTGTATCCTCTGT